GACACAGAGACACAGAGACACAGAGAGACACAGAGACACAGAGACACAGAGACACAGAGACACAGAGACACAGAGACACAGAGACACAGACACAGACACAGAGACACAGAGACACAGAGACACAGAGACACAGAGACACAGAGACACAGAGACACAGAGACACAGAGACACAGAGACACAGAGACACAGAGACACAGAGACACAGAGACACAGAGACACAGAGACACAGAGACACAGAGACACAGACACACAGACACACACACACACAGACACACACAGACACACACAGAGACACACACAGACACACAGACACACAGACACACACACACACACACACACACAGAGACACACAGACACACAGACACACACACACACACACACACGCACACACGCACACACACACACACACGCACACACACACACACACCCTTTGCGGGATCCCGACTTGAGACGAAGCCAGGACGAAGACAACATCGGTTGAGGGGATAAGTCGAGAATCTCTGAGATCCGGCGGCTCTGGAGGATGGCTCGGGCGCCGCGGCCCTCTCAGAACGTTCTGGAAGGCTCTGAAAGCGTTCAAGGACGCTCTGGAACGCATTTGTCCTCGTCGTAGCTCCGTCCGATGTCTGCTGTCGTGGCTGCGGCTGCTCCGCGCAGGGGCCGGAGCTCGCTGCGCGGCCTTCGACTACACGCAAGAGTGACCCTGGGCAAAGGTTGTGTCGGGCCTGTCCTTCACAGGGGGATTTTCGACGAAAAATAAAACATACCCCAAAAATAAGCAAAAAATCAGCCAGGGACTATTATTCGAGTATCTTTTGACCTTCTTGGGGTATTTTGAAATATTTTTTTATTTTTCGTCGAAAATCCCCCTGTGGGGGGACAGGCCCGACATAAGGCAAAAGTGACCTTTGGTGCGCGGCTTCAGGAGACTGCGGGGGGGCCAAGTCCAAGCGCGGCAGCCAGTGCTGTGGGGACCCCTGTGTGCCCGCACTAAAAGTTCACTCCGACTCCGGCGAGGGGTCACTCTTGGGCGTGGCCGAGGCCTCTGGTGCTCGTCTCGGGCGGGCCGCGCAGCCCGTCGCTGCCGTCGGTGCCCGGGCCAGACTTCTGGGTGTCCGAGGTCCCCGTGCCCTTCTCGAGCAGCCTGCTGGCGGCCTCGGTAACGCTGCTCACGAGCTCTGTTCGGATCATGAGCCAGCCCACCAGGAAGAACGTCACCACGAGTACGGTCTCGTGGTCGGGTGACCAGGTGGGCAATGCCACGTCGGCACACTCTCGCAGCGCGTCCATGATGAACAGCGTCGAACTCCACCCAGCCAAGAAGACTATGCTAATATATGGCGAGAGATTTGTCGGACGATCTTTCTTTAGAGAGGCGGCGCTAGCCGCTTGAAACAAAATAGCTGCGGATCTACTTGCGCGCGGGTAGCTAAGTGCAACTTGCTACACGATCAGGGCAACAGTAACAGGTATAACCGTTGGAAACAAGCCCATTCCAGACTGGGTGCCTAATGTATGCAATGTGCCCTGGGTTACTGCACGCACGAAAAATTCGACCATTTTTTATCCACCCAAGGGATAACACGTGTTACCCCCCCCCGCTGCCAACCCTCTCCTCCCCCGCCCCGTAATGGTACCGCCCAGGCCGGGTCCAGTGCGCGATTCCGGGCAGCCTAGGGCCTGTGGTGCACGCAGCCACTACTAGTGCCGCGGCGCACGCGGGCGTGCGCTATGGTGTACGCAGGCACTGCAGTGTACACGGGCGTTGTGGCGCACACATCTGTTGTTGCAGCAGCAGCTGTGGTGCTGGTGTACACAGGCGTAGTGGGTGTACGCTAGCATTGTGCTGTACACATAACAGGCCCTGTGGTGTACACGGGCTCCGTGATGTACACAATCGCTGTAGTGCGCAAAGTCACTATGATGTAAGCGTGCGCTGTGGGCTAGAATGTACCCACGCATCTCTTCCTACTTCTTCCTCCTCCTCCCTCTTCATTTTCGTCCTCCTCCTCGTCGTCGTTCTCCCTGCGCATACAGGGCGCGGGCATTGATGATGATGATGATGATGATGATGATGAGGAGGAGGAGGAGGAGGAGGAGGAGGAAGAGGAGGAGGAGGAGGAGGAGGAGGAGGAGGAGGGGGAATGATAAGATAGCTGTGCGCAGGCAGTGCGCGGTGCATCACGCAGATCCGTTGGCGGTCTCGTGCACGGACTCCTGCAGCGAGCTTCTCTCGGATGAAGGTGTGCATCTCGGCAGTGCTCTTGGGAAAAAGTGCGCGGTCTCCGAGCTGTCGACCCCATCGCGGGGTTCCTTCTGCTCCTCCTGCTCCTCCTGCTCGTTCTGCTGTTCCTGCTGCTTCTCCTGCGTGTATTCCCTCGGCTGACGCTGGTCCGCGCGCCCCCAAGCCGCGTGGTGTTCGCGGGCGCCGCGGTGCGCGCAGTTGCCATGACGTGCACAGTTGCTATGGCGTGCACAAGCGTTGTGGGCCCAACATGTCCGAGCGTTCCTTGGGCCAGAAAAACAAGTACTCACAATCGACTCAGGTGTTGAATTTGATACGATCCCAGCGATTTTCCGGAGTTTGGCTCCGTCGGTACCCTCAGGTGTACACAAGTGTTTTGGTGTACGCAAGCAGTGTGGTGCACAAGGGTAGCTGAAACAGCAGCTGTGGTGCACGGAGGCGCCGTGATGTGCACAGACAATGTGATGTACAAAGGTGCTGTGGTGTACACGGTTGTTCTTGTGTATGCAGCCGCCGTGGTTTACACACATACCATTTCTGCAGCAGTCGTGGTGCACAAAGGCATTGTGGTGTACCTGCCCGCGTTGTGTGCACAGGCACTGTGGGCTTGGACGGCGAGAACGACGACGGCGACGACAACAACGACGACGACGCCGACGACGACGACGAAGACGACGACGGCGGCGACGAACACGACGACGACGACGACGACGACGACGACGACGTAGGCGGCGCGCCTCGGGGGGTGCGCGCCGCGGCCCCCGTTACCGCTACCTCCCCCCCGGGTAACACGTGCTATCTCCCAGGAATAAAAAATGGTCTCAGTATTGCGAAATCTCAGACGCAGTTGCACATGGGCGAAGGCTCGGGAATGGTAACGTCGCTACCCTAATCGTATCGTGAACAAATACTTTGTTGCCCAAATGGTACCGGACGGCAGCCCCTCCAAACCTGAACGGGCAACGCGTTCATTGGTTACTCTCTCGATGACTCGGCACCTTACCCTGCCCGTTCCGTGACAATCCTCCTACGGCACCTTCTGTCCATGGAGGGGCGGGGCTTTGTCACCTGCGGCGGCGCAATGCAGCCGACGTGCCGCTTCGGGCGTGGACCGTGAAAACAATATGTTGGCCGTATCACCCATGCCGACTGTGGGAAGGCAGCATTTCGTCCAAAGTTGTGGCGCACGCGCGTGGACTGTCGCGCCCAAGAAGAGGCGGCGAAGCTTGTCTCGCCACGGGGGGCGTCTTCAACGAGTTTTCAGCAATCCTGAGTGACGCGCGTCTCGCGTCGGTGGGCGCAGAGGTCTGAGGGCTTTGGGGCATCAACAGACATAAAAAGAACACCAAGCAACAAAAACATATGGCACATTAAACCTACTACGGGAATCGCTTGGGTGGGAAGCCCAACGAACCCAGACACAGACCTTCGACGTCGTGTTTTTTTCACGTCGTGGGGCCCCGGGACCAGCTTTTCGCCCTGAATCGATCTCGATGGTCCTGAGCCGCCGAAATCGATTCAGGGCGAAACTGTAAACAAAAGTGCCCGTCGTGACTTTCTCGCTACGCCCGAAGTTGGGGCGCGTTCTGTTTCCACAAGATAGCCACCAACGGTGCACCCGTGGGCCGTCACCGCCGCCTCCCATATCCGCCATCTAACCCCAAGGCGCGAAGTAGATCCTCCTGAGGTTCCGTACCCCTCCTCTGTATTGAACATTGTAATGCCCCCTCAATGGCCCACAGCCGAAAGTTCTGGGTGCTCCTGGGCGGTTTGGAGCTTCTCGTGTGTACTCGCGCGTTGTCGCGTGACCTTCCCGGCGGCTAGAGGGCTTCAAAACGGGCTCGGGGGATCCGAAAAGGCCTCCAGCCCAAGAAAACGCAGGAGCGCTCCGAAAAGCCTAATATGACTTCCTGAAGACGGCCCGAGAGGCCCCCAAGGCGCCCCAAGAAGGCTCCAAGAGGCCCTGCATGAGGGCCGAAGGAAGCGCACAACTCAACGTTTTCCCTTGGGTTCTGCCGGATGTTAGTGTTCTCGCCTTTTTGGGCTCCTGCCATTCCAAGACGGCCCAGGATGCCCCCACGATCGCCTGAAAACGGCCCAAGAGGCCTCCAAGATAGCCCAGAAAAGGGGAACACAGGGTGGCGGGATGGACCGAAGACAACTACATACATTATACATATACGCACATGGGAATCACACACGCACAAACACACAATCACACACGCACGCACGCACACACGCAAACACGCACACGCACACACCCGCACACCCACACACGCACACACACATACACACGTACACACGCACACACACACACACACACCCACACACACCCACCCACCCACCCACACACACACACACACGCACACGCGCGCACACACACTTACACACACACACTTACACACACATTCACACACGCACGCACACAGACACGCACAGACACACACACACACACATTCACACACACTCGCACACGCACACGCGCGCGCACGCACACACACGCGCGCACACACACACATGCTCACACACACACGCGCACATTCACACACATTCACACACAGACGTGTAAGTCCGCGGCGCAGGGGAACCACAAGCGCTGTTGGCAGGTGGAGGTGCCAATCGCGAGCGAATTTAGTCGAACGCGCCACGATGAACTAATCCAGTCACGGCCATGCAAATTGGTGGTACACAAAAAAAGGAAGGCTCTGTAATGCCAAAGCGCAGCAGCCAAAGCACCTGAGGAACGTAAGCTCGACGCGGGAAATTTGAAGCGCAAGCAGAAGCCTGATCCCCATACAGCCCCACAGAGGCAACGCAAGAGAACTGCAAGGCTGCCAGACACAACAGCTTCCGCGTGTCAAAGCAAAGCCACCGACCTTGCAGCGAGCAACTAACATGTTGGGCGGCCGTGCAACAGGGTGCATGAGGTCGGCGTGGAAAAACATGATCACGCAACCGAGGCTGGCTTAGCCCTGGGGGAACGCGCTCATTTGCCCGAAGTGCGTCAGGTCGAACGCGCCGTCGATAAAGATGCGCACTGCCCTCCTCCGGTTGGACGGAACACGATTTTAAGGCTCGCTGCGCGTCGCCTTCTTATCTTGATCCTTGCACCTACATGTTTGGTTGACTGTGCGGTTAGTTGTATCTTGGACGCTGCCAGAGCCGGAGAAGCGAAACTGCTAAACATGCGCGCTTCCCGCAGGGAATTTGATGATTGTTGCCTCTTGGGGGCCCTGGGGAGGGGGGCACTCGGGCCGCTTTCAAGCCTCCGTGGTCGTGAAGAAGCCGTATTGGGCTCTCTCGGAGCGCTCTCGGGCCGTGTTGGGGCTGTGTCGGGCCTCTCTGAGGCCGTCTGGGAAGTGCCTCCTGCCGTCTGGGGAGCCCGATGTAAACCCCGGAGCGTTCTCGTAGGGTTTCCTTGGGCCGTCTGAACGCATTGTGGAGCTCTCTTGGGGGCCTCTTCGGCCCTCGTGTGTGGGGGGGGGGGGGGGGGGGCGAAAAGCGTACTGTATACCTCCCCCCCGAGGGGGGGAGGGACGGTGACATGCCGGGCTTTTCTTTGCAATTCCATCGGTCGAATGAATATCTCTTTCCCTCTATGTATATACAGGTACACATATACATATTACATATACATATGTATACTCATACGCACCTCTCCGAGGGAGTAGAGCTCAGAGGCGAGTGATTTAAGCCGCCCCCTTCGCGATCGTTTTGGCAATTTCACTCGGGGCATCTTCAGAATTATGCGAGTCGGCCGCACCCCTCATATAGATCGCGACGCCACGGTCCAAAATCATGTGTTGGGATTTTCAACATGTAAACATTTCAAACACAAGCTGGGCTTCCATAGTTTTGGAAGTCGCTCTGGAAAAAGCGAATGTTTCGCGTGAGAGGTCCCCAAACCATTGAAGCTTGACGTGTCCAATATTGTCCTCATATGATTCAAAACGACAGTTTCACTCGAGACGCCTAGCAACAATTGACCCAGAAGCTTCTTGTCAACTGCGATCACATCGCAAGGTGTGGCAACCCCACCTGCGTTCGACTGCCATCCCGCTGTTGCACCTCCTTCCTTCCCAAAAACCCCCTCATGATCCTCATTACTTATCCTCCCTTTTTCCGTTTTCCAATGGTTCTCCATCTCGTTCTTTCTCTTCCTCCTCCTACTCCTCCTCCTCCTCGGATCCGACGTCCTATTTCTCATTATTCCGATGTTCTGCGATGTGGCCCTTGTACCCTCGGGCGCTCAGGTTACTCGTCGGACCAACTCACCTCGCTCGTCTCGTCGCTATTTCTGCAGACGCCGCCGCCGCTGGCGCCCGACCCGCCGCGCGCAGGGCCGTAGTTCGACCAGGTCGCACTCGGGGCTCGTAGCTCAGCCCGCGCGAGGGGCGCTCTCAGCTCCTGCCTGCAGTGGGTCGACTACACGATCAAACATGATGAATCTTACCCAAGTGGTCGACTACACGGTCATGCTCCGGAGGTGGGTGGGCATGCAAGTCCCGACCCCTTACTGGGGGACCGGTTTTTCGCCCCAGATGTTTTCTTGACTCTCTGCCGGCCCCATGACGATCCACAAGCGGGAAACTTGCGAACAACTTCTGCCTTGAATTTTCCAAAACGCTAGAAGTCTGGGTCCAGGGTCGAAAATCGGACCCTGTACCAGTCGTGGGGTGCGCCCTCGTCAGCAGTTCGATCGGAATGCAGCCAAGGAGACGAGAAGCCCCCTGGATGCCCAGCAAGGGCCTGAAACGCATCAAAATTCCCCTGGCGACGTACCCAACCCTTGCGCAATGCGGGGCATACGTACATCAGGATTGCTACACCGGGGGCGACGACGTAACATGGACGCATGTGATTTAGCGAGCAGCAATAGGAAGGCTCGCAGGCACCCGATCAAGATCTAAGGGCTACGTAGTAACAAATCACCACCGTTGGCTGTGCCATGCGCCCGCTGCACCCAACGTATCCCACAGCAGCTCTTGAGAGCCCTCGCGGGACACGTGTAGGCGCAGCGTTATGGCCATCGCCTGGCAGATGGTCTGTTTCACAAATCACCCCCGTTGGCTGTGACATGCGCCCGTTGCGCCTAACGTATCCCGCAGCAGCTCTGACGGCGAGGTCTCGCTCAGATCCCCGCGGCGCCTCACCCCGCAGGACCCACCAGCAGCCCTCGAAAGTGGCGACAGCGTCGCAGATCGCAGCCCCCCAGGGACGGCGAGGTCTCGCTCAGATCCCCGCGGTGCCTCACTCAGCAGGACCCACCAGCAGCCCTCGAAAGTGGCGAGAGCGTCGCAGATCGCAGCCCCCCAGGGACGGCGAGGTCTCGCTCAGATCCCTGCGGCGCATCACCCCGCAGGACCCACCAGCAGCCCTCGAAAGTGGCGAGAGCGTCGCAGATCGCAGCCCCCAAGGGACGGCGAGGTCTCACTCAGATCCCCGCGGTGCCTCACTCCGCAGGACCCACCAGCAGCCCTCGAAAGTGGCGACGGTGCCGCAGATCGCAGCCCCCCAGGGACGGCGAGGTCTCGCTCAGATCCCCGCGGTGCCTCACTCCGCAGGACCCACCAGCAGAAAGTGGCGACAGTATCGCAGATCGCAGCCCCCAGGGACGGCGAGGTCTCGCTCAGATCCCCGCGGTGCCTCACTCCGCAGGGCCCACCAGCAGCCCTCGAAAGTGGCGACAGCGTCGCAGATCGCAGCCTCCAGGGACGCCGAGGTCTCGTTCATATCCCCGCGGTGCCTCACTCCGCAGGACCCACCAGCAGCCCTCGAAAGTGGCGACAGTGTCACAGATCGCAGCCCCTTGGCAAGATGCACACACAAGAGGTACCGCAGCCAGGATGCACACACACACACACACGAGGTACGCACAAGACAAGATGAGACAAGAGGAAAGCGAGAGGCGGGAGGCGGGAGGAGAAGGAGGGACGCGACCACAGTGCTCTATTCAAAACGAATGCCCAACCAAGGAGGGTTGGGAAAAACCCTCAAACCTCGACCCTGATCCGATCAAGACATCGAAGGTCTGAGCTGCGTACAACACAACGGGCTCCCGGGGTGCCGCTTGACCAGGATTTCGAGGAGGAGCCAGCCGTGGCGACGAGAGGCCGACCAGAGGCACCGTAACGAGTAAACAAATTAGGCCCTCGATGTCGGAGGTCTGTCTGGGCGGGTGTTTGATCCGTCTTCAACCAAACAAGAATCGCGAAGGCTGTAAAGGGTCGCATTTGTTTTGGTCCACAAGATCCTGTCTCTGAGATGCGGGGAACTTGCCGCCATGATTCCGTGCCGTGCCCGTGTTCTAGACTGCGGCAACTGTGCTTGGCCGTGTCGCGCCGTGCGTGCCGTGCTGCGCCTGCTTGCCAAGATGCGAAGAATATGCCTTGCCGTGCCACGGCGTGCCTGTGTGCTAGGGTGTGAAAAACATGTGCCGTGCCGTGCCGAGCCTGCGTGCCATGCCTGCGTTCTGGAGTGACGGGATGTGCCGTGCCCTGCCGTGCCGGCATGCCGTGCCTGTACTCTTGAGTGCGGAAGACGTGCCGCACCGTGCCGCGCCCGTGTTCCAGGACGCGGCACGCGTGCGGTGCCATGCCCGTCGTTCCGCCTGCGAGAGACGTGCCGCGCCGACCCCGTGTCTTATCATGCAGCGCTGCTGTCTAGGGCCTCCGTGCCTGTGTCATTCAATGCTTTTTCAATGGTTTTTGTATTTCTTCTCGCCTCGTGGCGTGCCTCTGGGACGGGCTGACCAAACGTCGGTGCTGACCCAGGCTGGCCAAGGCCATGCCGCCAAGCGAGGACTGCCGTGCAGCAGCTCCCTAAACCCAGGCCAGCGGAGGGTGGGACAGGGGGTGGGGTCAGCTCCGCGCGGCTCCCAGACCCGCGTCACCCAGAGGGGATCACAGGTCGAGATGATGTCATGATGTGGTTTCTCGGGCGTCCCAAGAGCTCCAGACCATCTCGCGGCAATTACCATCGTTTCTGGAGCCTGTGCGGAGCAATAGGCGATCCAGAGAATCCCCAGACATCCAGCCGCTCCAAGTTTTTTCGATTGGACCACTTCCCTTGGGGCCGGTGTTTCGTCCCGAGCGGGGTCAATTCTTCGCCCTGAGTCGTTTTTTGACGGTCCCGAGGCCCAGCGAGGGCCCCGGGAGGCCGAATAGGATCAAAAACCCGCCGCTCTAATTTTTTCAGGAGCGTCGGATCTCTGGGGAAGATTACACGCCGGTCGGAAGAAGGAAGTAAAAACAGAAAGCAGGAAGGCGGATCAAGTAGATTGGGTCCAGGCCCTTCCAGAGAAGAACAAACGACAACAAGAGCATATCGACTCTCGGAGCGGGAAGGCGCTTGACGCAGGTTGGGATCTGGGAGTCCCAAAATACCTGCTTTCGACGACCGGCGTGGAGGCAATGTGGGAAATCCTGGCAGTCTTGGCACGTCAAAAGATGGGGTCCGAGCAGATGGGGTCAAAGGATCTCGCCGCATCGCCGATACATCGGCAATGCATCGCCGGTGCATCGGCGATGCATCGGCCATGCAATGGCGACGTCGGCGATACATCCACGACGCCGGCGTAGAGGAAATTGAGCCCCACATCGAGCCGCATCGCCGATGCATCGCCGATGCATCGGCGATGCGGCGCGAGCTTCCGACCCTGGCGCTCTGGGAAATCCTGGCAGTCCTGGCACGTCAGAGCGCCGGGGCTCGAGCAGTACTGCCTTGTCCCTGCGCGCACGCGCGTGGCTGGACGGAGGGCTTGGCCTCTGGAGACTGCGCTTGGGGTCTACTTTCAGGTCGAGCGTGTCCTCGTACAGGCGGATTTGGGACGAAAGCTAAAACATCGTCAACAAATGCCTGACCAATTCTCAAACATACAGAAAAATCGTCCCCGGATTACTTTTGAACTACTGTATTTTTGAATCGTCCTCCTGTACAGGGACAGGCCCGACTGCAGGCTACACATTGGGGGCTCCTCTCGACACGTGGCCACAAGAACGCGGGCCAAGAGCAGTGGCCCCTTCGCCGACTGCCCATGGAGATCCCCCAAACTGCTACCACTCCAGAAGGGGAAGCCCCCAAACGGAAAACCCCAGTGTACCCCATCCGAGGCTGTGGCTGTGCTTGACCCTCGTGCCAGCGGCACACTTGGAAGCTACCGTCGGGGCTGACTGGAGAGGGCACGCGAGAGGACTCAAGACCCTTCCCAGGGCCCCTCCCGGAGATCCAACGCTCCGACAACAGATGGAGCGGCGGGCTTTTGGCCCTTTTTCGGCCCCCTGGGGGCCTCGCTGGGCCTCGGGACCGTCAAGAAACGGCTCAGGACGAAAAACCGGCCCTGGGGAGGTGGTCCAGACCTCCGGGGCCCACGCACCCCCCCATCTCAGGAGGCAACTGCTGGGAGGTCTCCGGGGTAGAACGATTCAGGGCTATGAGGCCCATTGAAGGTCGACTGAGCCAGACTGGCCCGAGTCAGGCCTGGGACTGGGCCAGACCAAAATGGGTGAAGCGGGGCTGGGCGGAGCCATCCGCCTGGCCTTGCCAAACTGAGCCTGCTATCGGCCGCGGGACCGTCAAGAGACGGCTCGGGACGGAGAACCGGCCCCGGGGAGGTGGTCTTCGGCCGCCAGGGCCCAGGCATCGAACAACAGCGGAGCGGCCCGAGGCCCAGGGAGGGCGCGCGAGACGGCACAGGAGCCCTGCGAGGGCCACCCTGCCACAAGAGTGCCGAGGGCATGGGTCGCGAAGCACGAGGCACAAGGGTCCTCTTGCTCTCCACGACGTGGCTCCCCAGGGATTTGGGCGCCTTCTGTGGGACCAGCTCTCCATCGTGAGTCGGCTTTTGACGGCTCCAGGGCCCCGCGAGGGCCCCCGGATACCAAAGACTAGCCAAGCCCTCCGTCGCGATTGTTGCACATCGAAGAGTTGTATTTAGACGCCCGACATGGGTACCGAAAAATGGGTACGATGCCCAACAACAAATGTTGTCCCACACCAACAGCGGCCGCTGTTGGGCAGGCGGCCTTCTGTCTCAAATGGACACAGGCCGCGGCGGCGCGGACAGCGAGCCCTGTTCAAAATGAACAGGAACTGCTGTTGGGCATTGTGCCCATTCTTTCCGTGCCCGTTTCGTTCGTGCAGAATGTAGGGGGCCCCGCTTGCGCTGACCCCCGTTTGACGTGCGCCGCGATGCCTGCCGCGGCCGCGCCGCTGGCGCCGATGCCGCGCGCCCTCTGGAGCTCAGCCCTCCGCTCGGCCGCCTGCGCGGGGGCACCTCCTCCTCCTCCTCCTCCTCCTCCTCCTCCTCCTCCTCCTCCTCCTCCATCTCTCCTCCTCCTCTCTCCTCCTCCTCCTCCTCCTCCTCCTCCTCCTCCTCCTCCTCCTCCTCCTCCTCCTCTGGCACTTCCCACCAACCCTCCTCCTCCTTCTATTCGTCCTCCTCCTCCTCCTTCTCCTTCTCCTCCTCGTCCTTCTCTGGCACCTCCCAATGTCCCGACCTCTCACCACCCCGACCTCCCACCGCCCCGACCGCCTGCTCTCCTGCTCCCGTCGGCTCGGGCGAAAGGGGGTGGTGGGATAACGAATGCAGAAGGGGGGGTAGCGAATCAGCTCGCGCGGCTGGCTTGTCTGGCGCCTGCCAGCGCGAAGGGGGGCGCCAATGTATCAAGGAAGCGCCCCGGGCAGGGAAACCGAAACTAGCTGCATGCAGCAGATTTTGTGCCCCTCCCCTTTCCCGATCCCCCCCCCGTGCGTCCGACCAGAAACAACACCACCCAGAATACATCGCGTCGCGGGAACATGTGCTCGACGCGGAGATCCACAACATATGTGCACTTCAGACTCCCGTCGCGTGTCGCGGAGGAACTCTGCCTGTGAGCATCTGGGTATGAGGGCGAGTCCATGTAGACGACGGGCGCGACGACGACAGTGACGGCTTCAGTGCCGTCCTTCTCCTCCTTCTCCTCCTCCTCCTCCTCCTCTTCTGGACACTTTCCAGGAGAGATGGACGAAGAGCGAAGGAGCATTGAGCAATACAAATAGAACACACTACGTGTGAGCGTGTGAGCGTGTGAGCACGAGCGAGGAGATCTGAGCTTGAGTGATCTGAATGTGATTGAGTCTGGGCGCGAATGAGCACAAGCATGCTTCATGTTACATGTGAACGAGTCTAGGTATGATAGTGTCTGGATACGGGTGCGTCTGAGTATCAGTGCGGCTGGGTGTAAGTATGGGTGAACCAAAGGGTTGCTGAGTCTGACTGTGAGTCTGAATGGGAGTAAATCCAAGTGTGAGTGAGCCTGGGTATGAATATTGTAGGTACGAGCTTGAAACACGCTGGGACTGAATACGAACGAATGTGCGCATGAGTGAGTCGGAGTGTGGACGGATCCGAATGCAAGCAGCTCCAAGCGTGAGCTCGTCTAAGTGCGAGTGCGCCTGGGTGCGAGCGAATCTGAATGCGAACGAGTCCAAATACGAGCGCGCCTGGGTAGGAGGGCGTCTGAATATGGTTAACAGCTGAGCGCGATGGGTGCGCAGGCCCGGGCACGAGCGGGCCTGTGATGTGCCCCGCGGTGGCCTCCCCTTTGGGGTGCTGGAGCCGGCGCCTCGCCTGAGACATCCTCGCGATCTGCTCTGAGCGCAGACGAGCCTGATCACCAAAACGCTGTGGGAAACCACACACACACACACTGTGGGAAAAAAAACACACACTGTGGGAAGAAAGACACACACACAAAACACACACAAAAAACACAGACAGTGGGGAGAAACACACACACACGCGCGCACACACACACACAGACACAGACACAGACACAGACACAGACACAGACACAGACACAGACACAGACACAGACACAGACACAGACACACACACACACACATACATACATACATACATACATACATACATACACACATACACACATACACACATACACACATACACACATACACACACATACACACACATACACACACATACACACACACATACACACACATACACACATACACACATACACACACACACTGTGGGAAAAAAACACACTGTGGGAAGAAAGACACACACAAAAAACACAGACAGTGGGGAGAAACACACACACACGCGCACACACACACACACACGCACGCACGCACGCACGCACGCACGCACGCACGCACGCACGCACGCACGCACGCACGCACGCACGCACGCACGCACGCACGCACGCACGCACGCACACACACACACTACACACA